TTGCTTAAAAATAATCAAACTATTCTCGAAGTGCAAAGCCCTCCGAATAGCACTTTCACACGATCACTTATGTTCATAAATTGGAACCCATACAGCTAGTCCCCTGATTCTAATATTTGAAAATTCTGCTGCAGGTTTCACGCCTTTGACAAAGCTATTTTCATTAATTTCAGGTTTGGTTTCTTGGATGATACGATTCTGCTCGTCAGCCTTAACAGGCTGGTTGCATGGATGAGAGTCGAGTAAATATCATCATGCTCCACCACCAGCGCATTATCATTCGCAGTTTGATCTGTTGAATATGATCCTGAAGAATCCTTGCCATACCTTACTGTCCATCTGTATATGTTGTTACCTCTGTCATCGAATCACTCGCCACCTCTGTAGCGTTGGTGGGGTTATCAGTACTAGGGTTTGCTTTTTCCATCGCACACCCCAATATTTCCAGAAGACTTTCAACAAGAAAAAACAAATTACTCCCTTACGCTAAGCCGCTTGAGGCAGTCTAGGGTTTTAGACGAAAAGAAAACGAGACCCCAGTAGGTTTAACAATACCCCTAGGAAACTCTCACTCAAGATCCTTTACTGCAGGAGGCTGGAAGAGGATCCACACATGTAATAAACACTCTAGAGGGATTATACGAAGCAAGACAGCCGTCAATCCCAAAGGACTGAAGAAAACCTAAAGCAATCGCCGAAACCCTAGTTTTGAAACTCTTGCTAGACGAGAGAATCTTTGCAAAATTGTTCTTTTAATTTAACGGAAACTTAATGGTTGGCTAGTTGTTTGTATTTCTATATGTTTGGCTAATATTTTAGAAAGCACGAAATGTTGGCTAAAAAATAGTATTTACCCAAAATAAAATAATAAGTCAATAAAAGCCAATTTATTTTGTTAATTAATGTAACAAGGGGTCAGATTGGCGTACGTCAGATGTATACTATACGTCATACGTCAGATGCATACTATACGTCAGGTACTATTAATGAGATATCTCTATCTAGACCATCAATTAAATCGAGTTTGGGGTAGAATACTATACCCTAACCTCTAATGGATAAACTCCAGGTACCAATTTTCTAAACCCCAACCCGAAGTTAGATTTAACAAAAACAAAAATTGACTGTTGAGATCGATCGGAGCTTATCTAAGTACATCTAACAGCTAGATCACCTGACATATAGTATAAGCCTCACGTACAATATATTAAGGGCTAATACCACTACAACACCCAAACTATCCCGAAAATGCCACTTGTGTCCTATTGTTTCCAATATTCCATCTGTGTCCTGAACTATTATTCCGTTAGTGTTGACTGGCAGTATTTAACAGAAAATCTAGTCAGCATTGACATGGCATCTGACGTGGAATTTTCATTATCAATTTTTATTTATTTTTCCATCTAAGAGGGTAGAGTTTGTGAATTTGGTGAAGGAGATTGGGCGGGAGCATTTTGTTGGGGAGAAAGATGTTCAAGTTCTTGATGACGATGAGTTCATATTGGTTGGTTGTTATTAGTGGGTTGTTGTCCAGGTGTCTTCTGATATTTAGTTGTAGCTTGATTACTCTTTGTTAGCGAGATAAATGTAGGGTGTTGTTAGGTTCTATTTGATGTTTTACCTTGTATGATATCATAATGTTGACAAGCTTTTGTCCACGGTCGTGATTTGTAGGGAAAAAATCCCAAAGTACACATGTTCTTAAAAAAAATTTCAAAAATACATAAGTTATAAAAAAAATTCCAAAACTACACATGTTTGGTATTCACCGTTTTTGACAAACGCAGTGAAAGCTATCACCGCGTTTGACAAGCACGGTGAATAATTCACCGTTTTTCTCTAAAACGGTGAACCAATCACCGCCTTAAATGAAAACGGTGAAGACATCACCGTTTTATTTGGAAACGATGAATACCTTCACCGTTCTAGGTTAAAACGGTGAGTATTCAGCACGTTTTCAACCCTTGTTAGTTGAAAATTAGGTATGAGCTACCTAGTGTTCAGCGTTTGAGACAAACGCGGTGATGGTGTTCACCGTGTTTGACAAAACAGTGAACATTAGGCAGATTTTCCTATAATTACCAGCCCACCAGCAGTTACAGAAACAAAACCACTCCCCCCTCTTCAAATTTCAGCAACCAAAACCGAGCATAATACACAGGCAGAGAATTTTCGGTATGATTTATTTTTCGTATTATAGGTTAATGATGGGTTTTTAGTAGTTATAGTATGATTTAATTTTCGTATTATAGCGTAATGATGTTTTTAGTAGTTATATTGTTATGTTATTATGAATTACTTATCGTAGCAATTGTAGTACTTAGTTTTTGAATTTATGTTATTGTTAGTTAGTTGAATTTATGTTACGTTAGTTATGAGATGGAGTAATATTAGTCGTACAATATGGTTTTGGTTAATTTTACTGTCTTTAAACTAATAGTTTAACTTGTTGTAAATTGTAGATATGGGTAAATTCAAGAAGTTTCGGCTTATTATTCGGTGGAATGGAAGGGTGACAAACTCTGACATTGGGATTGATTATGACAACGGTGAATCCACTATGCTGAAAATTGAGTCGCGATTCAATTTTCAAGAACTCCGTGATATTTGTGCAGACAGGGTTTGTACGAGCGGACAGACGAGACTTGGAAAAATTAGTTACCGGTATCCAGACATGAGTGCTGGCGGGGTTGTGTACCAAGAAGTTGTCATAAACGATGATGACGCGGTTACGATGATGTTGGAGTTCCTACGCGATAACAGGATGCGGCTTGCAGAGGTGTATGTTGAGACCGAGGCGGTCGGTGAAACTCATTCTCACCAGTATTCTTATGATGATGGTTTTGCAGGAGGGTACGGATGGGGTGGTAGTTCGAGCAACTACGAAGGAGGTGGTTATACAGAAGGTTATGGAGAGGGTGGTAGTTCAATCAACTACGGTGGAGGTAGTAGTGCAGGATGGGTGCCGTCGGAAGAATACTCGCAACAGGATCAACCTGCCGATGGCGTTCAATGGCATGCTTGGGGGCCTGAGTGGGCTGAAATTTTTGAATACCATTCGAGCAGGGCGTACTTCACATGAGCGAGAAGACGATGTTGGTGATGGTGGTCATGTTGATCCTTCTGGGCCGAGCTATCCATTTGACTCAACAGACGAGGATAGTGAGGAAGATTTGAGATCAGTGAGCGAGGAGGAAGATACTGATGATAACGACGACGAGGCGACATTTCGTGAGGCACCCACGCCATACTATACACAGGTTCCAACTCAATTTCTACATAGTCAGAATGATGCCCCCGACTTTGTCCCTATGCCAGTGTATAATCCGACGGCCGATTTGGAGGTGGGTATGACGTTCTCATCGAAGGACGCTGTGCAGGATGCCTTTACCGAAGAGGCCTTGAGGCGCAACTTCGAGTGGAAGGTAAAATATTCTGATAGTAAACAATTACATGTCATATGCAAGAATGATGCAGAGGGCTGTACGTGGCAACTGCGGGCTGCAAATATGTAGAGAAAGGGTTCCTGGGTGATTCGAAAAGCCGAGACCAACCCCACTTGCTCCTCGTCCATACGTTCCCAGGATCACAAGCAACTTAAAGCAAAGAAAATTGGGAGAACTATTAAACACCTTATCGAAGCACAACCAGATATCAAAGTCAAAGCTATCATGGCGGAGGTGAAGAATCCACATTCTTACACGATAAGGTACAAAAAAGCATGGCATGGAGAGCAGAAAGCCATGGCTGAGGTGTATGGTGATTGGGAGGATTCATATGCTTTACTCCCTAGACTTATGGCCGCAATGGAGGTGTCAAACCCTGGGACTGTTTTCGTGCCAGTATACAACAATGTATACATTGAGGATCAAGTTCGAGTACAGGAGAAGTTGATGTTTCACCGTATTTTTTGGGCTTTCAAACCATGCATTGACGGGTTTGGGTTCTGCATACCGGTTATTCTGGTATTTTAATACGTGTTTACTATTTGAAATGTTTCTATTCTTGCAGACCAAGTAAATTTCATACTAATTACAGCCTAATATTTAATTAGGTTGATGGAACCTTCCCTACTGGGAAGTACAGAGGAACTCTTCTCATTGCCACTGGCGTTGATGGAAACAGGCGGATTTCCCCCCTTGCATTTGCAATAGTGGAAGGGGAGAACAGCTTAAGTTGGGCATGGTTCTTTGACCAACTACACGAGCACGTGACACAGCGGGAGGGTATTATGATTATATCCGATAGACAAGAGGGGATTAGGAATACCGTGGGTGGTTTTCCTGACGAGTGGGGATGGACATGGCGCTGGTGTATTCAACACTGGCTCGCCAACTTCCAACACAAATTTGGAAAGAGGAAAGACATAAAAAATCAATTGTGGCATGCAGGCACTAATGTCCTTTAATGCGAGTTATCTATGTGTTTACTAATTTGTTGTTTATCATGTATTGACCATTTCTATATTGTTCACCTTGCAGCGGTTGCACATCAGCCAAAAAAGTACGAGCAGAAGATGAAGGCGATCCGTCAGACTCACCGAGTTGGAGCAGTATGGGCTGAAGGTTAAGAATTGGCCATGTGGACGTTCCATATGGACAACGGTGCCAGATGGGGCATTGCAACTACCAACCATGGAGAAAGTATAAATAATGTGTACAAGGGCCTTCGAGCGATGCCTATTTCTGTCATAGTGGAGATTTCATACTGGAAGGTCAATGAGTGGCGGGTGGCTCGGCTGCAGCTAGCGATTGGGAGGGAGATATCTGGTCATCCGATAGCACATGACGTTTTTGAGCAAATGCAGAAGAACGAAGAAAAATCAAGTAAGCATAAAGTTGTTCTTTTCGATCGCAGTGAAGGGATATTTGCAGTGGAAACAGGTGTATGGGGTGGAGGTAGACGTGCCAACAGATCAATGGCACCTTGCACAACCACGTCTCGTGATCCAGAGGGTTTCTAAGATGATGCAGTTCGACCACTTCACGTGGATATGGATCCCAAGTAACCTATATTCATTCAAATAATGCAATTAGCGACCATTTACCTTGAAACTTGTTAACATATAATAAAGCATGATTACCTGATTCCACCAAGGCTTATCTAAATTATAACGATAAAACAGTAACGAATGCTCAGGTTGATGGTCATTCGTATTTGCTCCTATCCACCTTGTAAGTAAAATCATAGAATAAATTGAAATTAGGCTAAGTACGGATTAAATTCAATTTAAATCTAGCTAAGCATGGTATAAATTGAAATTAGGCTAAGTACAGATTAAATTCAATTTAAATCTAGCTAAGCATGGTATAATTTTAAATTAAGCTAAGTACGAAATAAATTCAATTGAAATCTAGCTAATCATGGAATAATTTTAAATTAAGCTAAGTACGGAATAAATTCAATTGAAATCTAGCTAATCATGGAATAATTTTAAATTAAGCTAAGTACGAAATAAACTTACTTGACACCGCAAGGGGGATATTGTAGAAAGTTTAGCTCATCATCGGCTCTCCGGTATGGACGTGGGTCTAGAGGTGCGAACATTGGAAGATGCTCCCATACCCACAGCTGTAGGATGAACATCGCAGCACCAGCTTGTTTTGCTCCCACCTTCGAGCAAGTGCACAGCTCCCGGTATATGCCAGCTAACACGGCCGATCCCTAGCTCTTTTCCCCGATTGCGTCCCAGTCACAAGTGAGCAATGGCAACCATATGCGTTGAATCCACCAGTTTGACTTGTCGGGGAACAGAAATCCACCCACCAGACCAATGAGGTAGATGCGTGCATAGCGCTCCACTTGATCTTCCGGAGTCTCGTCATTGATTTGCACCTCATTCTGGATGTGAGCTACCAGCCACGGGACCGACACTTGTCCCACATTCAACGGTGGATGCCCCCGTCCTTGAATTGGTGTGGTGGTCGGCATGTCAAATCCCAACTCAGCAAGAATGAGCAGCCCCCAACCTCCTTCGGGTTTGGTAGTGGGCCCAATGATGGCATCTCCAGTAATCGTCAGCCCGGTGAGGATCGCCACGTCTTTGAGGGTGGACGCCATCGCTCTGCCATTGCCGTAAGCAGATCATTGTCGATTTCGATCCGTATGAAATGGCGCAACATACCCAACCCGGTCCTCTCTATATAGGGCGCCAACCGTGGATGCCAAGGGGCAAGTTTGTGGTCCCTTTGTCAACGACGGGAATGAGTGATTCTTTCAAAAAAATAGGAAAAACATCAATTTGTTATTTTAAATAAATCAAAATAAAACCTTAGAAAATAATAAAATAAAGCAAATAAATCATATAATTACCGGATTGTTATCCCAAATAGCACGGGAGCGATGAGCTTCTTGATCGGTTAAGAGTCTCATATCTCTTGGCCCATAATGGATATACAATCGAGGATAGTATATCTCGGCACCCATCTATAAAAAAGTAATCAAATCAGAGATTGTTTTGATAAAAAAATCACAAAATCAAATTATTACGATTAAAAATAAGAACACAAAAAAACCTACACGAAGAGCCTCTTCGTCCATTTTTTGGCAGAAGCTGGACAGAGGTTCGACGGGTTCAGGTTTGTAAGGGACGGGACCTTAGCGGGACGGGGGCTTTAGGGTCACACTCTAGTAATTCTTTCTGATGTGGAAGATCGGATTTATCCGCAACCACAGAGCATACTTAACAAGACTAGAGCGGATAAATTGAGGGAGAAAGAAGTGAAATGGTTGTGGTGTAAGTTGTAAGTGGGGGAGAGGGTCTATTTATAGTTGGGGGAAGGGATCAGCCAAAGAAAACTGGGGAGCATTCACACCGCCTCCCTCTGAAATGGTGAAGTGACCGCGTTTCTCAAGGACGGTGAAAGGGCGCGGATCGAGCGACGTGGCTTAGTGTGAGGCTTCGGATCTGGGAAGAAAACCACGATCCGTGCCTCACCGCATCCGACGGCCAAGGTGAACGTGGCAGCGACGCGGATCGCTGACGCAAACAAACACGGGGTATTCACCGTGGTTGTTTAAAACGGTGAATACACATCGTTTATCCACGTCAGAGATCCGCTTTGCTTCTTCGTGGCCAATCACAGCAGTTTAAATATCACCGTTTTTAACTAAAACGGTGATTGATTCACCGTGTCCGTCTAAAACGGTGATTGCCTCGCTTGTTGTTCACCGTTTTAGAGGAAGACGGTGAATACGTGACCGTTTTTTTTTTAAACGGTGAATTATTCACCGTGTTTGACAAAGGCGGTGATTATATTCACTGCGTTTGTCAAAAACGGTGAATGCCAAACATGTGTATTTTGGGAAAAAAATTTATAACTTATGTATTTTGGGAATTTTTTTTAAGAACATGTGTACAGTGGGATTTTTTTCGATTTGTAGCTTCTCTATCTAAAGGTTTGTTTGGTGCTTTGCAGAAAGAGGGGCAATCTGTAACATCTGGTGCTTTCTTTTCTTTGTTATCTGTTATCTTGTTTCTATTTTGCATTACCAATATTATGTTATATCAGAGATCGATGGAAGATTTGCATCACAGATTGATGACTCGTAGGAAGTACCACCTCAAGCCTCCATTTCTTTGGCAAAAATAGCACGAATTCTGCACTTAAGCGCAACAAAACACTTTTACGTGCGAGATATTCAATCAAGAGTGGCAGAGCGATTTATAATTTCTTGTATCAATTTGATAAACCGTACTACCCAAACAGGTATTAACGGGTAATCCACGTATATCCAATGTAGAGATTCTTGATGCCAAGTTCCATCCCGTAAAATAATTACGGTTATTTGGGTACCCATAACCCTTAAAAAAACGGGACGGGTATGGGTATACCCAAATACCCGTTCCCCATTGCCCACCCCTAATGATTAAGAAATTTCGGGTCTGCTTTAAAAAACTTGTAGTCTATTTTATGAGATTTATGTTCGTGACATCTATAGATTTGCACGGATCTCTGGATGTTGCACAACCATTCTCACGACTTGGTCATGGGACGCTCTTAAGAGGTCTTGATACCGAGCAAAAACGATAGCATCTTGGTTAGAGTCGTGACCAAGTGTTATATCTTGTGGTCGTGACATCGTGCAATGTAGGATATTTCACAGGTTTCAGCCATTTGAGCAAGGGGAGCTTGTTTTTAGAGAGAAATCATGGCTTCCCTTCCATTAAAGAGAGAGTGACATACTTAGAGAGGTTGGAGCCTTGGAGAAGATTTGGAGCTTCACATCTCCATTGGAGGCTTGATTTCACCACCAAGAGCATCAAGAGTAGCCAACAAGCAAGATCTTCTTCACATGATGATTGTTTTCTCCATTTTGTTTTTTTGTTTCACACTCTAGCTATGTAGTAGCTCTCTATTTCACCTAGGTGTTGTGGAACCCTAGTTGACATGTTGTAGTTGATTGTTTGTGAACCCTATCCTTAATTAGCATCTTGGTTATATAATGAGTTGAGTATTATTCATGAAAATTGTGATTCTTGACCACTGCCCTCAATTTCGTGCTAATTGACCTAGTTGAGAGAATACCTACCTAGGATGTGTTTGGGGATTGGATTGTTGTCTAGCTTCCTGATCATCATTTACTAATTTCCATCCCTCGAACGTCTCTCCTCTTCACGGACTTGTATGATAAGGAGAAAATGTGCCTTTAAGAAAGTGAAAGAGACCTCCGGATCTTGTTGGTACCCAGATGTGTAACAACCCGTTTATCGTTGAGACGAGGAGTGCAGGTTGGGACGTGGTGCTTGTGGCAATGAACCCAACCATCATTTCCCCACATGAGGTTTTGGTAGAAAGGCAATTTACTTCTAGTCTTAGCTTGAGGGAGAGATGCCTATTTGCAAAATTGCAAATACTTGGTCCAATTTCGACAATGTTTAAAAGGAGATTCAAAAAGATTGACCCCTACCTTGAAAAGAAGTAATAAAGAGCAGCTTCAAAGAGTCCATTGTTTTTATTGCTTTTGAGAGTCCTACGGTGCACACCATGAATGTCTAAACCTCTTTAGTTGATGACACGCTATAACACAACACCAAACTACGACCAAGTGCAATCGTAGGATGGGAATGTGGAACAATGGTTTAGTTTTAATATCGACCGGGGCTCTAGATCTACTGCTTACTCCATGAACTTCTATTATCTAGTGGGAATAGTTTAGTGAAGTTGTTTAAATGCTAAAGAAATGAAAAGCAAGTAATGTTCTGGTTCTTTCAAGTGCTAAAGGTCATCCAGGTATGACTTTCCCTAGTGTGCAGCTAGTTCAGGTTATACATTCCCAATTTACTCCGATTAATAATACACTACGAAAAGTACTTAACAAGTATGGAATCTTGACTAAAGTAATCCACAAGGTCTCAGTTCGAATACTCAGCGGGAAACTAACCTCCAACGAGATAAACCAACCAAGGCAGTTATGCACCAAGATTCCTCTATTAGCGTTTACTCCGGTACATAGTAGTGAATCGATTCTCGACTAAAGCAATGGATTCACCACTTCCAATTTAGGGTTGAACTTGATGCTTCTCTCGATTCGAAAAAGTCTCATGTGGTTGAGTGTCTACACTACGAAGATCTCCATCCTCCCAACTAGTGTGCAGATAGTCTTGACCATGCCATAGTACCAGGCGAGTCAAGTGATGATGGGGCCCAAGTGCATCGTGTAGACTCGTGGTCGGCCCAAAATACTCGAGAATGATGTCTCCATGATTGCTCCATGATGAAGAGGCTCTCGAGGTTGAGTCATCCTGTGAAGTGCTACCATCCAGCAAAGGCTCAAAAACTCCTGAGCACGTAGACTCGGGACCCTGGAGTGTGTCAACAGCATGTTCAGGATCCTCTACTAGGGTCGGAAGTGGGTCGTCCTGGTGTGACCCGCATGAGAAGTTTGCTCTCTATACTCTGGTAGGCTTATCGCCTCGTACACTTGGGGATTCACATCACATGCGTATGCAAGGTTCATCATCGTCTTAATCCCGATGTGGAGCCCCAAATCCTATGCTAGGGTGTCGTACCCGATTGTATTGAGGACTCCACCCAAACTAAAATCCACATATGGACGCTCTCTCTTTATCTTCTAGGTTGAACATGCCTGAAGGTGGAGTAGAATCCAGGCACAACTCTCGGTAAATTGCCTCATCGAGGCTGAGAGGGCCTAGCACCACTGGGGATGAGCAATGGCTGCTGAGATCGCAGCGTGGCAATGAAAAAATTGAACATGTCGAGGTCGAGGCGCCAATGGGGTCCAATGTACCCATTTCCCCATGACTCTAAATGGGTCCCATAGTCGGGGTGATCCATCCAGTAGTGGATATACTAATGCATGGAATCAACCATCCTGCAAATATACCAAGCAATAAGCATCATATGTGGAAACATTTGTCAGACACAGCACATTGGGGAGAATTGACTCCCCCACACTTAATTCCCAGCATAGGTAACACGCATACATAGGCATTTCACAAGGTCGAATGACAATATTTAAGCTCTATCATCCCAAAAGCACACCAAGGAATGAAAATAGGTGTTTCATAGATCATTAAGGTTGCAAATGCGCTGCCTAGATCCCTCAATGACCACCATTCAACATGCACAAAAGTGAATCAAGGCTAGACATTTAAGCATACACTTGGTAAGCATATTTCATTCCTAACATCATAACATGCCAAATATTTCCCACCAAGTCACAAATATCCAATCAATCACTTAAGAAAAATGCAATCAATCATCATTCAACTAATCCCTTGCCTAATTTCATCATTCATGAAAAAAATTCCCAAACTCCTCACCTAAGAACCCTAGATCCGATTCTCCAAAACTGACTAAGTAAGATTTCAAAACACACATAGAAGCATAAGTACGATCGAAGAGGAATGTGAGGTGGAGACGAGGGTGTCAAAATTTGGTTGAAAAAGTGATTGAAGAAGGTCACTGGAGCTTTGCCTGAAGCTAGAAAGAGTCTCGCCGGAGTAGTTCGCCGACGAGAAAATCGAGCCCAAATATCCCCTCGGTAAAGGTGCGCCTAAGGGTAGAGTGAACAGATATGTGTTTGGTTTTTGGATTGGGTGCCCGAAAGTAGATCAAATCTATGGAAGACCGTATGGAAAGACAATTTCCGGTGAAAAGCTCTAAGGATTCTAGCGATGCTATGTTCATGTTTGAGCAAACATCACACCCCTTTTATACTGCTTGAGGGTCAGAATCACGGTTTTGGTGTTGATTTCACGGTCTCGGACTCTGATCCTAACACGAAAACCTTGAAATTACCACAAATGGTGAGTTTTGATTCGAGAATCCACTCAAACTTGGACCAAAACACCAGAGTTGCACACGTCAAACTTTTTAGGGCTTTTCTTCTTTCTTGATGATACTGATTCGGGCTCATTTGTACATCTTTTTACCCCCGCTTTCCTTAGTCGTTTGAGGCATTTGCACTCCGGGAGGTTTGTTTTACGCCAATTTTTGCCTTGTTTTGGTGTTTCTCATACTATGGCAGGTGGAACCAACCCCGAAGTTGAAAGTTGGACGAAAGGGCGAAAAATCAGGTGATAGGGTGAAAGCAGCAGCATATAACGTTGGAACCTGTGAGTTCACAATCATGGAGACCGTGAACTGGAGCCGCAACTCGTCAATCGCCAGGCATCCAGGGACATTTTTGCTTTCACTGGACTCAAGCCAGTTCACGATCGTAAGACCGTGAACTCAGGCCATTGCCCATGAACTCGACTAAGTGATGCAGTGCGTTTTGACTTGAGATTAGGGTACTTGCTTTCAGTTCACGATCATGAACTGGGATAGTGATCTGAGCCTGATCTGGGTATAAAAGGAGGCTTGAGCTGAAGGAGAAAAGGGGGAGACCTAGTGTGATAAACTTCTTCTTCTTCTTCTTCAAATTTCTAGAGTGAGAAAGTGACGAACCAAAGAAGAGAAGAAGCTAGGGTTTCATCTTCAAGCAAGGATTTGGGAATTCCTTCCCCAATGGAGGATCTCTTCAACACAAGGAGCAAGGCTTGCATCTCCATGATGGTTTTCCTTCTTCTCTCTTGTTTTTCCCTTCTCCTAGCTTGGAGTAGTCCCTTATTTCAATTGGGTGTTTGTAAACCTTAGCTACAATTATGTTAATGTTTGTATGGAATGAATGATTTGTGTGTGGAGGTGTATTAATGTGAATTTGGAGGTATTTTCATGAAAGATTGTGTCGTGTGTTTACCTATCAATCTATTTGCTATTCTAACCTAGGTATAGAGAAAAACCCTATTCTTTGAAAGAGGCTTGTAAAGCTGGGTTTTCTTAGGCAAATTTTGTCTCATATCTAGGTTAATGTAGGCCAACCCTTCTTTGTTCGTATTAGCACCTATAGTTGGTTGTAATTTGGCTGTCCAAAATCCGATTCAAGGGTAAAGTCTTGGCAACCCTTAGTCAATAGGCCAAGAGAGCTACTTTGGTGGCTTGAATCGAATTCCCTTGTCATAGAGACCGAAAGAGTGGCGTTTGGCTACTTGTTGCACTTCCTTACGGTTTACAACCACCTTGCCTCACGCATCCATTCGATCCGTCAAGTCATAATTGCTAGCTGGGGGAGCAACCCCCGGGTGAAGCCTTCTCAATTAGTGTCATATCCATTTACTTTTCCAAATGGTTTAGCAATAGATCGTTGTTTTCAAAAGAAAAAATCGCTAGATAATGTTACAAACAATCGAAGTAGGGGGATATGAACCGGCCCGGGTTGATATTTAAACATATTTGCCCTATATTGCACCCAATTGAGGTTTATACTTGGGCCTTAATTGGGAGTTTTATTATGATATTCGGGACGAGTCAAGTTTTTGGTGTCGTTGGTGGGGAACAAACGGTTCATTATTTTGAAAAGATTTTTTGGTGTTAATCTAGCTTTTACTTTTTTCTTTTTGTGTTTGTGAATCTTGCTTGTGTTAGTCGAGTTGTGGTTCTTTTGAGTGTGTGCAGGGAGGTGTATGACCCGGAGTAATCCGACACCTTTGGCACCATTAGACGAGAATCTAAACCACACTCTTCGACACTTGGCTCGTGAGAGGGAACTGGCGGTGGATGTAAGGAGGATAGAAAAGGAAATTGTAGTTGAGGAAGGGTTTGATTCCGAAGAGGAAGGAAGTGAAGCTAATATGTCGGATAATCAACCCGCTCCAGGTGGAGCGGTCACGGAGGAGCAACCAAGGACCATGGGCTACTATATGGCCCCAAGGACGGTGGATATTCTACCCGCCATTCAATATCCGCTTGTGGTTTCCAAAAATTTTGAGATCAAGCCCGCCCTTGTCACCATGATCCAAAACAATGCCCTATTTCATGGGATTAGCAATGAGTCTCCAAGGGAGCATGTCTAGAAGTTTATCAAACTTGCGGGGAGTTTGAAGATCAGTGGGGTTCTCGAGGATGGTTTGAAGTTTAGGCTTTTCCCCTACTCTCTTATGGGGAATGCATCTCGGTGCTTCAACAATGGACCGACTCTATCGATCACCTCGTGGGATAACATGCTCAACAGGTTTATGAATCGGTATTGCCCACCTTCAAAGAAGGCGGAGTGGCATAATAAGATCTCCTACTTTGAGCAAGAGGAAGATGAGACATTGAGGGATGCTTGGGAGGTACTCTGACTTCTTATTCCAATTCACACATCATGGATTCGAGGAGCAATTGCGGATATGACCCCACCCCAAGTGACCGAGTTTCTTCAAGACATGGCAAGTAAAGGGTATTCACTCACACAAAACTACACCGCACTAGAAATCCCCTCTAGAGCCCAAGTTTTTAAACTCTAGAGGGGTGCAACATATGTAAAGTAAGTTTTAATTATCAACCGAGGCCGATCCATATACCCCTACTTCAATCGCTTAAGTTGTTATCTAGCAAACCGATTTTGGGTTTTAAAACCAAGAAAACTACAAACTAAACAAACAAGGAAAAGTAAATAAAGGATAATTCTAACTAAGGAAGTTTCACCCGGGAGTTGCTTCCCCCTAACTAGCTACCATGACTCGTTGGATTGAATGGAGTTGTGTGGCGTAGGTGGTTGTGAACCACGGGGGTTAGCAACTAGTGATCGATTTGTCAAGGGATCGATCCACTCACCAAGTCTAGGGGAACCGCTAGGAGGCGAAACTAGTGATCCATTTGTCACGGGATGGATTCACTAGAGGTCAATTTGTCACGGGATCGATCCTCACACTCAGTCTCTAGTGGTTGCCTAGGTCTCTCCCCAAACCGGAGTTTGAGCGGCTTAATCACAACCAACCTAGATGCAAACTTGAGTCAAGGGGGGTGCTCGTCTCTAACCTAGATAGTAGGCACAAAGTGCCCAAGAAAACCAAGCTTGTCAAGCCTACCAAAAAAGGCGTGGTTTTCCTCTAATCTAGGTTAGGCAAGCACACAAGATTTGGAAAGAACAACTAAGCACAATCACCATGAAAACACCTCTAATACTCAAATTGATGCAAACCCATACGAAATCATTCAATCTAAAGAAGTAATTACAAAGTATTAGTTAGGGATCTACAACACCCAAGAGAAAAGAGTGAGTTTCAAGAGAGAGAGAGAGAGATTACAATTTTGAGCTCAAGATCTTCTCCTTCTAGGCTTGAATCCTTGTCTTCAAGATTCACCTAAGCCTCCAATGATGCTCCAAGATCACTCTAGCACTCTCTCTCTCTCTCTCTCTCTGTTTCACTAGAACTCCCCTTTGGTGTTTTTGGGCAAACCCTAGAGAGGGAATTGAATTTATCTCCAAAAACCAGCTCCCCTCTCTCCTCCTCGGTGTTGTCTTCATATTTGCTCGGAAGTGATCAGGTCACGGACGGTTGGCCAGTTCACGGCCGTGAACACCTAAACGCGGCTGTGAACTTAGTGTCATCCAAACCGTGCCGCTTCACTCTCCTGGATTAACGGTCAATGGCCCCAGTTCAGGGTCTTAGAGAGTGTAAACTCCTTTGGCGTCAGTAACCTCTGAAACCTCGCTAGACTGCTTGATGTTCATGGTTTGTGGCTTTAGTTCACGCTCTTAGGACACCGTGAGCTGCCATGTCCGACCATGAACTGCGGCTATTTCCTGGACGCCTCACTTCACACTTTGGACTTTCCTTTGGTTTTTGCGCTTTTTGACCTCCAATTATCCCAAAATTCGACCTCAACCTTTCCACATGTGCTAGGACCTGAAACGTATCAAATCAAGCACAACCTAGCATGAAATATGTCAAGGAACGATGAAATACTAAGCTAAATGGATAAGAAATGAGGGGTAAAATGTGTACATTTGGGCCCGAATCAGGTATGATTGGGGTTTGACAAGAAGTGGAAAGATAAGCACCGCAAGAGGAATACAAAGTGTAGGAGCGAGTCCCCTGCTTGAAGTTATGATTGATCGGTTGATTGATGCATTCCTAGAAGACAAGAAGAGAGAGAAGAATCCAGTACCATTTTGTGATTGGAGTGTGATTGCAAGCTATGATGGGGCGAAGTGCTAGGTGATGAATGAGGAAGAGGGCTCTTGTGAGAAGTTGTACTCCATCTCCCCCGCGAGCCCCGACATGATGTCCGCTTTGGAGGAGCTTGTGACTACCTTTGTCAGTTCCAGCTCCAAGAGGTTTGAAAAAAAGAAAGATTCATCGGGGAGGCGATAGAGAAGTGGATTTAAGTGTGCCAGTTGAGGATAAGGTGGACTCGCCTCCTCAGCTAGAACAACAAAAGGGAAAGCAAGTCCACCTCTTCCTTACCCAACCAGACTCCACACAGTCCAAATGACGGTAGAATTGCCCATTTCATGAAGCTGATGAACCAAATGCACCTCAACATTCCATTTGTTGAAGCCCTCACTCAGATTCCTAAGTACGTGAAGTAATTGAAAGACCTCATCACCAACACGAAGAATCTGGAAGGAATGACTACTGTGACCTTGAATGAGGAGTTTATGGCAATCCTACATAACCACCTACCTGCAAAGCTAAAAAGATCCATGGAGTTTCACTATCCCTTGTTTTATTGGAAATATGTGCATAGGGAAGTCCTTGGCGGACCTAGGAGCTAGCATTAATGTGATGTCATGTAGATTGTTTAAAAATTTAGACCTAGGTGAACCTAGAACTACTAGGATGAATATCTCGTTGGCTAATAGGTCCATAGTGCACCCTAAAGGCGTGGTTGAGGATCTACTCATTAAAGTTGGGAACCTCATTTATCCGGGTGATTTTGTCATTTTCGACATCGATGAAAATGTGGACGTCCTTCTTTTTCGGGGTAGACCCTTTTATTTGCCTTGCAAAGGCATTAATCGATGTGCATGGGGGTAAGTTGGTACTCGAGGCAAGAGAGGAGGAGGTTTCCTTCTCAATAGATGATACCATGAAGTTTTCTTACCTCCATGATGACAAGCAATACTGTGATGATGTATCAGATTTCATTGCGGCACTCGCATCTGCGGGTGCCAATCCTACTTACCCCTTTGAGGAGTGTTTTTTGGTAGGTGATGATAACTCGGATCCTCAGGAAGAAGAGTGTTTTTTGGTAGGTGCTGACCACACCTAGAGTGGTGTCAGTATGGCTTCACCTATGGTGGTATGGGGGTATGTATGTATGATCACGTTCTACGGGATGTTGGGTGAGTATGGTGGCCCGGGAGAGTTATTAGCATGGGAGTAGCCAGGCAGGAGTGGACCTACGTGTTGTTAAAGGGTGTCGCCCTACACCCATTTACCCAAAAAAATTTTAAAGAACCTATGTTTTTTTGGTACAAAAAATTTAAATATGAGATTTTGTTTCGATGGCGAAACTAGCGTTTTCAATGCACTGTTTTCAAGTAAACACAAAACACAAAGTCAACACAATCGTCAAATATCCACTGTTGGTGCCGTCAATGTTGATTTGATCGATGCACCTTTGACTTCTAACCAGAACAACTGTTACTCGGTTCACCACCTCTCCAAACTACGGTCGAACGAGGGTGTTCAACGAGAAACAAGAAACCAAACCAGGAGTGTTCTAAGTTATGTTACCTCTACTCCTATGGAGGTTCCTCTGGAGAGCTGCAAGACTACGACTACGACTCCTACAACTCTGCAAAGGAGATCTTTGACAGAGCGGTTCTACGAAACTAGAGAGAAAAAATGATAATTCTGCAACGGTGCAGAATTTCCCCGCAACGTCGTCGACAACGTTGTGAGGAATAAATTTCCCCGCTGTAAAAGCAATCTCAACCCTGGAAACGTTGTTCTCCACTAAACAACATCGTTTCTCATCCAAGCAGAATCGTTGGATTTGCGGCATTGTCAAATACATAACGACACAAGTGATGTTGCGACCTTGTCCGAATTACGATATTGTTTAGCTAGGAATTCACAATGCTTGATCACTAGCCTGCTTGTCATCAAATTGAAACAATGTCGCTTCTTGACATCATTGAACTCACTGCTTTACTTTACTAACTGATGACTCGATATTTGCACATGTTTTCCCCTTTGTTTCTTGATCGTTTAAGCTTGCATTATCGCTTCTTTGGCCTATTTTACGCTAGGTTGTGTTCCTTTGTCACATTTCAGGCCCTAGCAAATAAAGTGAAGCATAGGCGCAAGTTTCAAGTCAATCAGAGATCAATTGGCGATTAGGGAGAAGAAACACGAGCATTACCTGAAGAAGAATGGATTTATACCTCATTTTATGGACAAAGAATCATGGAAGTTTGTTATGAAAAGAAAGAGGACGAGACTACGAGCGTCTGGGTTCAAACGGCGACTGATTCGGAGTCCGGACGAGGGAGAAACGAAGCTTTGCACAGGGGTGGAGGAAGAATTACGGGCAGGAGAATTACGACCGTAATTTCCCCTCCCATTCCTGTAATTTCACTGCCGAGAGGAGCTTTGGGTGCGCTGAAACTTAACCAAAACGCGTGTTTTGGGCAAAATACGGGCATGGAAGAATTACGACCGTAATTCAGCCCGTAATTCGCCCAGAATCGGGTTTTTGAGGCAGATTAGAGCCAAAGGAAAGGGAGAGCTGGGTTTTGGATCCCAAACACCCAAGGGACGAACCCTAGAGAGAGAGAGAGACTTGGGAACATTCTTGGAGCTATTTTGGAGGATTTCTTCGCCATTGGAGCTCGGGAATCAAGCTTGGAGATGGAGATTGAAGATCTAGATCAGATTTCTGCAGTCTCTCTCTTCTCTATGGAGTAACTTCCCTTCACTTAGATTTTGAGGAACCCTAGTTCCATGAGTTAGGATCTTTCTTGTATGAAGTTTTGGATGCTATATTGTTTGATTTGAATCGAATGATGCATGTTTATTGAGTCAATTGAAGTCTGATCAACTTTTCCTGATTTCTGCTGCAACCTGAGATAGATAGAATCTGATTAGGTTGTTAGAGCCTCGTCATTCGGTAGTAGGAGATTGGCTATACGAGAGTTAGCCAGTTTACTGCTTTGTACTAGAATCCAATTCCAGTAGTGGAGTTCTGTGCTTATTGCTTCAGCTTTCTATCCCGGGGAAGACTAGTCGTCTGCCGGATAGTTAGACTGAGAGGGCTTGGTCAGCTTAAGAGATTCCAAGCTACTGTCGGATCTTCCGCAGTTTAATCAACAGTAAAACAACCAAAAGGAATTACAACTTGGACCTAATTGAAGAGCTAGGGGGAATCATACCTAAGTGAGTTCCCAAACTGTAATTAGTAGTTTTACTTAGTTTAGTTAGTAGAGTAGTTTAGGTAATCAATCCTTAATCTAGTTTGCTAGATAATGAACCGAAGCTGAGTAATAGTAACTCTAGAGACCCGTGGATTCGATATTTATTACTTGTGCCACTATACTGTAGTCCCTTTCATTGGTTACACTTGGCCATTGTTAGGTGTTGTGTTTTAGAGCATCACTAACAAACTTGCTCCATAAGCAACCACGTTCAAACATGGCCTGACTTTAATCAATCTAGGTTAAAGAGAACAATGTTGTTGC